CACTGCTCTCCAAAACTGTCTATTCTGCTTTTCAAATGAGTTCTTCTTGTCGGCGAAAAATTTGCACGATGAATACCTATTCAATCGTCCAACTGCGATTTCCCATTTTTCTGCAGACATCTATCGATTTGTGTCAGCCTTTACTCATCAAGTCTGATGTTAAAAGTAATGTATTTAGCATCAATGGATAGAGAATGTTGTGCTCTACACTTCCACAACATTTTCCAGGCTCCTAGTGCTGTCTCTCAGGAGAAAAAGGCTTGAAGCTGACACTTGTCGATATTTTTGGGTGCACTTTGGAAAACCATCTTTTCAAAAGCCAGGCTTGCTCTATGAAAGATTTTATTCTCATGCTGTCGGATGTAGAATTTAATTCTGAACTGAGTAGTATAACTGTTACATTGAACCGTGAAAACATTTTGATTGTTTCTAACTATAAAAGAACAGCGGCATAGGTCTGTCAGAAAACGGTCTTTTTTCGGTGTTTTTACATGTTTTACTTCAAAAGTTTTTGTCCCAAATATTTCTTCTGAAATATGTATCCAAAGATGTAGAATTTTTTGGAGAATTTTGAAGCATACTTGAAATTTTAGCGGAAACTTTATTAAAAATTTCTCATCATTTTTTGGGTTTTTTGACCGTCGTAGTTCGACGATTGAGTAGGTATTCATCTTTCAAATTTTTCGCCGACGAGAAAATCTTATTTGAAAAACAGAATGGACAGTTTTGTAGAGCAATGAATTCTCTATCAAGTCAGGTCCAAACTGGATTTTAAAACCATTTCAAAGTACCTCAAAGACAGCAAACAAAAGTGCCCCGTTTAATCTGGCCCACCCGTTATTGTGGAGTCACTTCAGTGTTCTTTTGTAGTGTAATTTGAAAAAATTCTTTAGATTCTCTATAAGAAAAAAACCGCTTTCGTGATCATAAGACCTAATTGATGCGATACACATTCGCATGGGTCACATATGCAGAGATTTTTATAAAATAGGAAACATATTCGGTAAAATCCCGTCGTATATTAATCGAAAAACCTTTTTAACTGTATATATTCTTCTAGAAATTCAGAAATATTTTTATCATAAAACAGCACATTGATAATCGAAGAAAACATATCTAACTGTTTCTCTATAAACTGTTTCTTTGCAGACAATCGTATTCCTTCAAGTTGGCTTGAAACTAATGATTAGGCTTGTAGTATGTTTCACTATGAACGAATTTATTCTATACTATTTCAACTAAGTGTTGCCAGTGATAGATTGTATTCTTTAGAAAAAAAAAAGTGTAAGTGTCCTATTAGACATTTGTACCAAGATGTTAGGGTATGTTGACTGTATTGTTCAAAGAACACTTTTATTGCCAACGATCGTCTTCTTTTTTCTTTTCATAGGGTATTATCCATTTCTTTTGCATTCTATGCGTGTGTGATAGGTGAAGTCTACTTGTTTACTAACGATGTACGGAGTAAAAATGAATTGAAAGTAAGGATTTTTCGTGAGACGATCAATATAATATGACTTTTTGAGGGACTTAATAGAAGACATTAGTTGTAACTTATGAACGATAAGACAAAATAGAAGATTTCGAGTCTCCTAATGTATCGAGGGCTTTATTTGAAGATGATATCTACTCTGCAAAATGACTGAGTTGTGACCGAGCGTTACTTTGCGTTGAGAAGACAAAAATCGGAAAAATGAACCGTTTTTCTTGCGATTAACTTTAGAAAATTTTTTACTATACTTCAAAAGTTTGTATAAAATTTATCGTTGTGTTAAGCATTATTTCCTGTCTGTTCCAATATATATTCCATAAAAAATTTTGTGGCCTTTTTGGAACAGAGATCTGAGAAGCAGTTAAAATAATTATCATTTATATTTTTTTACTGAACATGTAAACAATTCGTTTTTTTACTTGTTGTGAATTTACTGGAGTACGTCTAGAGTTGACCATCAAACCACTAGCACTAAACTGACGTTCGACATTAGCTGTAGTTACTGGAATTGAATCAAGTAATCAAACAAGTTTTGATAAAACAGTATGGATAAATCATCAAATCTCATATTGTCTTGCTGTTGAAAATCTTGCCACGTTCCACAGCATAGCGATATAACTTGGCGATTTCCGAATCTCAGGTCTGGAAAACGTTTCATTTCAGTCTTTGTAATATTTCAATAGTCAAAAGTCATAGAAAAATTCGAAATAGTATATTTTGAGAAATCACAAAATTCTGATTGTAATACATTACTTCTTACTGTTTTGCAATACAATTAAATGTGCGAAAATTAGTCAAACATTTTGTCTGACAATGTTCAACCCACCCCTTAATTAACGTTGTTTATTTTCTAGCGTTGTTATGTATGTCATGATCCATTTGAAAACTTTTTTGATGATAATCGTGAAGAATGGTGTTTAAAAGATGCTATGCGAGTAGATGGAAAAACTTATCATCCAATCTGTTATCAAGATGTTCAATATCAGGTAATAAAAGAAATATTAATTTAAAAAAACTATTGATTTATTTTTAAAATAGGAAACACATGAAAAACCATCCGTATCATCTAATAATGATCATTTTGCATTACATGAAACTATTACAGATGAAACAAGTAATCATTCAATAGATTCTCAAAATTTTGATCATGCAATGGCTACTGTTAATATCAAATCAGAAAATGACGATAGAGTTGAAAAAGATTTATTATTATCATCATCATCTGAAGAAGAAGATTCAACGAAACCAAATTATCTTTCATCAATGTCATTTGTTAATCTTGTCGAAACAATATTTGTTAAAAAAGAAGATCTTAAACCAATTGAAAATATTGAACCTGTTACAATAGTTGTTAAAGAAGAATCATTAGATACAGCAACAATATCTGAAGAAATTCCATTTCTATCAATTAAACCTGAAAATGAATGTGAATTTTTAATTAATAAAAATTCAGGTGGGATTGGAACGATTTCGGATTAATATTTTCTTCATTTCTCATTCGATTTCTACGAGTTTATTTTCGCCTCTAATGTATGTGTGTTTCTTCATGTGCTCTTATTTTTAAAAATTGTGCGTGGTATTTGTACGTACATAAGACTCAAAAATAAAGAATATATATGTATACAAAAAAAAAATAGAAATGTTTATTTTTTAAATTTATTGAAAGACAAATATGAAAAGAGATTAGAATTAATGTCCATTTTAAAAACCTTAAGATAGATAGGAATTTTTTAAATAATTTTTAATAAGAACAAGATAGAGAACTATGAGTTTTATCTGATCTTTTTTAAGGTTTTCACCCATGAGATATGTATTCGAACAGTCAATGGGAGATTTACACAAGTGTTAGATTTTTAGATTTAGTCATTCCGGAGGCGTAGGCATTCTAATAGAAGTTTTCAGTCTATTATCTAAGCAATGAATAGCTGTGAAAACAATCACATTTTTTTGTTTGTTTTTTTCTTCTGTTCAAAGGAATTATGTTTTCGACACGTTTTTGTCATAGATTACATTACAAAGCCATCAGAAAATATTTCAGGACAGTCGATAATACATGATTCGATGCTATTTCATCTCCTATTGCCAATGGTGAAAATAGTAGCGTTCTATTTTGTTTCTATGAAAATATATTCAAGAATTCTCACTCATCTTTTATTTGAATCGATGAGAAAAATATTTTCTAAGAAAATCTGTCTTTTTTATTACGAGATTATTTTTCTAAATGATCAGAAAATAAAGGATATAGATTATTCTATTCTCTATGCATTTGATATCAAATCAGAATGTAATAAAGAAAAATTCAATTAAAAAAGATATTTATCATAAACGTATGATAACATTAATAAATAATAGACATACTCTCATCACTCATGTGAATTGAAATACAATTAACTGTTATACAAATATCTTCACCTTTATTCATTTAAAAAAAAAACGATGCATTCGTTTCTTTTTGTAAACCGATCTGAAAATGCGAAGATTTATCAAATTAAATAGTTTCATTTCATTGCAAATACATCTTTCTATTCACATCGTATCTATTTACATATTGTTGCGAATCATCTTTTAGTTCAATTAGAATCAGTGGAAGGTATTCTTGTTTCAAAATGAATATCAGAACAAATGAATTCGTCTATAGTACAACTATATGATTTGATTTTGAAAAATATGTGGAAGATTGTTCAATCTGACATGGCGATTCATGCTTCTGTTTTCTGTCCTCATCTATCGTCATTAATCACGATTGGTGGGCATTTTTTAATTAATGGAGGTTCATTTTTAGTGATATCAGTTGAACTTGTACACAGGGTTCATTTTCCTTCTGGTTGTATTGAGCCGTTGCTTTAAATTATAAGTTGTTGTTCAAAAACTTTGCTTTTCATTTTGTTTTAGAATAACTTTTTTTCCAGTCTACGTAGTTACTGATAATATAAAAAATTTGTTATCACAGGTAAATATCCTTTGTTATTTATACTTGATATGTTTATGAACACTAATAGAGCATGTGCAAACATTCCTATTTATTTTTGCCCTCTAGGTGTTGAATCAGAAAAAAAAAAGATTCTTATTAAACTAGAAATAATTCTTAAAAACATGTTAATGAAATAGTCTTTATATTACTAAACGTTGTCCAGGTAAATTGTTTAACAAAAGTGTTGAAAAATGTAGCAGAGAAGTATAGATAGATTTGTATTTTTATTGCGAAAGATAATTATATGATTGGGTTAAATACAATTATTTTTTTAAATATTGAATATTCTTAAGATGAATTATGATTATAGTGAATTAAGGCCGCCCCCTCCCTCCGAGAATCAATTTTTTTTAAAAAATTCAATTTTCGAGATAAACCTATGGTTGTTACCTCTAAGGTGTCTAGTTTTAAAA